TCCAGATCTGTCACCCACTGAAAACATTTGGTGCATTATGAAATGAAAAATATGACAAAAGAGATCCTGAACTGATGAGCAGCTGGAATCCTGTATCAAAGAAGAACGGGAAAACATTTCACTTGCAAAACTTCAGCAGTTGGTCTCTTCAGTTCCCAAATGCTTACAGAGTGTTGTTAGAATAAAAGGTGATGAAACACAGTGGTAAACATGCCCCCGTCCCAACTTTTTTTGGAACATGTTGTTGGCATCAAATTCGAAATGGGCATAAGTTTTTCAAAAAACAATAAAATTTCTCAGTTTCAACATTTGATATCTTGTCCTTGTAGTATTTTCCTTTGAAAATATGGTTTACATGATTCGCATATCATTGCATTCTATTTTTATTTACATTCTGCACAGTGTCTCAACTTTTTTGGAAATGCAGCTGTATTTTCTAAGTGAAAAAAGTTAACACATCCTCTACAGGGAACAAACGTGAATAAGGTTTTTTCTGCTAAATTTAGTGCACAATTTCCATTTATTTGCTGAGTGTAACACATTGGAGAAAATAAAACAAAATAAAATACGTGCCATAACATCATCACAGGTCACATTTTATGTTTAATTTTTTTCTTTATGTGAAATTCAACAAATAAAGGGTAATTGTGCATGAAAATGTGCAGAACTATGTTCTTTGTAGAGGATGTGTGAACTTATATATATAAATCAACAAAACATGTCATTTGACCAGGGTAGCCAGTTTCAAAAAGTGTATCTATAATCTCAGTCTTTTACTTTCTCTCAAATCTCTTTCCAGTGTTTACTAATAAATCAGAATCCATGAAAAAGTAGCTTCAGCCTTGTCTTGTCAATCAAATGTGTTAACCCACCCACTAAGAATTGTATCTTGGTTTGTTTTAACTAGCCAGAAATTTGAGTGTTACTGCCAGAGCAAGGGTTTGAACCCCAGTCTCAAGCGACCAGTCCAATTTATATATTATACTTAGAATGCATATATTATGACAGCATTAAATACCCCACACCAGCCACGAATATGATGTCGAAAAAAGACAGGCATGCGAGGTACACATCGGGCAGACACTACTGCGCAAAACAAACTGGAGACGAAGAGGCTGAACTGATAAATAATTGGTAATTGGTTGCTAATTGGCAATTTTTGGCATATTTGCATATTCAGTCCCACACAGCAATCAGATTTCCGGAAACACAATTGACTACCAGACACTTGGTGTAAATGGGGTCAGAGTTACAGCAGTGGAATCTCCACAGGAGCTGTTACTGCATCCAAGGGTCAAGAGTGATAAAACTCGTGGAACCTGAGTCGTCTCACCTCCTTTATTCTGAAATGGATCTAGAAGAATAGCCATGTACACTTGTTCAGTCTGAAGGCATAAGTGTAGGGGCTTAAACCTCCCCGGCCTTAGAATTAATCCAGCGCAAATAAGCCTAGTGCTTTTCGGCATGCACCTGAAAAGGATAAAAGCTGCACTAGTTTCTAATCAGAAATAAGATTTTAAGGTAAAACAATCAGACATAATCAACAGCGGGCAGCATTTTGTGCCTATATTTGAATTGGACGTGACTAAGTGCCGTGTTACCTCTAAATGCTGCTGCCAGTGTTTGCTATACTTCAGACACAAGCTGAATGCGCCATCTGTTGCGTAATGCTAACGTGAACGCCCGTGTTCTGACGTTTCAGTATAGGAGGAAATTACACAGATACTTTGTCTCATATGAATCAGACAATCAAATCCTAACAAATTACATTACGCAATCTCTACTGGTAAAACTAATCCAGCTCAAACTGTGCTTTTGAGTAGGCCTGGGTTATATGCTCGTAGACAGAGAGTTAGATAATACGACATTTATGTTAACACAGTTCTTCGAAGCTGCAGGAGACTGCCTGAGGGATGGGTTAAGGTTAGAATTAGATTATACATCTTCTCCCCTTAGACAGTCGACTCACACTCCATAAAACACATTCAAATCTCTTGACTCATCGCAGGTGGGAGAGCCTCTCTTTCTCTGTGGCATTATTAAACACAGCAGACACAGTAGGCTGGAGTAAATGTCAGTTGCTATTTTAGCATCTTTTTCACCAGCCAGGGCCCATTTCTCACACCAGTAGAAAACTTGGTGTGTTTTTCAAATCCTCTCTCTCTCTCTCTCTCTCTCTCTCTCTCTCTCTCTCTCTCACACACACACACACACACACACACACAGACACACACACACACACACACACACCCCATCCGACTTCCTACACCCCACTGAGGAACGGCAGTTCATTTCCTGCCCCAGCAAACTGCTCAGTGATTCAAAAGGGCAAGTGGAGCCTACATGGTAAATGGAAAGGCAAAGACTTCTACTGTCCCAGGATGCACTCACACAGAGATACTATCACACACATACACTCCTGCTTGGTTTGTGATGAACAGTGGTTGGTTGATTTAAGTATTTTAAATATGAACTTCTCTTCAAATTACCATTACAATTAAAGCAACACTACTAATATGTAGGGATTTGGAGCCCTCTTTGGTGAAAATGTGTAATTACAAGCAATTTGCTGAAGAACCTTTTATTACATCAGTTGCGCTGCACTCTCCAGAGCAGATTATACAAGATAGGGGCCTCGCCCAAAGCATCAGTATGATTCAAACAATGAAAAAACTAAAAGAAATCAAACTGCAGCCAAACACAGTGTTGTACATGTACTTAAAAAGTACTCTGCACAGGGATTCAGGCAACCATGTCAAGGAGAGGTTTCAGAAGAAAAGACGTGGAGTTCTGTCCATTAAGTGGTGATGACTGCACCATTCAAACTCAAACCACTTTCAAAACGTTTGAAGTATACTTCCAGCATTATTAGGGTAGCAGTGGTGTCTCTGCCTGAAGAGGGAATCACATCATTGTTCTTCCATGTGTGGGCTGATGGTGTTATCCAGTATGGTATCGCTATATTGGTATTCATATTAACACTTAAGCTGCAACTTCTTCTTTTAGTTGCCCTGATCTTTATTTAGTGCAGCAACCCAAATGTTAAGAAGAGACATTCTGTCCTGTTTCAACAAAAATCAAACTACCTTGGGAGCCGCAACAATTTATGTCCATTTTGTTAGTGTAAGATTTTAATATCTTGGCTGTAAATATGTCTCAGTATTTGCCAATGTCTTAGTATAGACTAAAAAATATATAATGTAAACAAAAATGCAGACTTACTTTGTACTGCTTCAAGCCTCAGCTCAGCTATAGCAGCTTTTCTCACATCTCTTGCAGGATGCTGTTCAAAGTAGAATAGTTTATTACTTTTTTTGTTTTCTCTCACTCAACTTTTTGGTGGTGGACAGTTTCTCATTGGAGATTAAACATATCAGGAAACCAGCTGGACTGCATATAAACGCAAATGAGTCTGTCCGTTCATCTAATTTCTCTATGTTGGTCCTGAATCTTTCTCTCCTTTGCCATTTCATTAGCTACTAGCTAGGCAAGATTGTTGTCTGAGTTGCTATGTGACCAGCGGTCTGTGTGCCAACCTTTAGCGTTAAACGTTGGTGAATCAGCAGTTACAGATAAAACTGTGTTAGAATGCTCGGCAAAACTTTATTTTACCGCAGTCCATTATTTTACTGCAAAGAAGTATTTTAACATGAAAATCTGTTTGTTCTGTGGAGTCACAAGGGGGCAGTAAATGAGCCGCATGTGTCTCCAGAGCCGCATCTGGCCAGCCCCTGGGTTAGCGCTTTATTTAATTTGATCTTTTGTTTGTGATGGTAAAGTTTGATAGATTTTTTTTATGGCAAACCAGCTGTATTTTGTTGATAACAATAATAAACATTTAGAATATTTTAAAGCTATCACTGCAAACTTTCACCCTTGGAAATAAAGGTTCCCAAATGGTTCCTGGCTTGGATATATGGTTCTAGGGGGAAAAAAAAAAAACTTAAATGTTATAGAGCCCTTACATGATCAGCCACACTTTCTTTTCAGCACAAAACTGCCAAAGATGAACAATAAATATGGTATAACTGCTTGAAAAAGCTTAACTGCTATTCAACAGTTGGTCTTCACTAGTTGCTGTTAACAGGCTGTCTTTAACTAGTTTATGCTCTATATTGTCTGGAATGGATTATATTCTGCCCACACTAAAGGTCAACAGATAGCTAACAAAGTAACATTCTCCTCCAATAATAAGAGACAGGCTTTAACTTAGACATCTACAGAAGGAGTTGCTTTAAAACTGCAACATACAAGGTACTGTAAAACATGAAAGGATAATATGGGATTAATGTTTAACACTCGTGATTTTTTTTTGGGATCTCACTCTCATTATCAACCTCCCAGAGTTTCAGTATAGTGCATAGACTCTGTTGTCTCTAGTACAGGGCTGGTGTTGTCACGAAAAGAACGAGTTTTATTACAAATCCTATATAAACATGCATCTTGGGCTGAATGAAGGTGTATACACTTGCTATGCATTGGAGACGGATTACTTTATCACTCAGACTTCTTCGGGAGGTTGTCTGAGGCACACTGGAAACATTACAATGCCAGGCAGGAGAAGGAAAAACATTCTTAACTTCTAATGGAAGTTAATGGCCCTTATTCATCAAAGTTGCCTAGAAACAAGCATAGATCTCACTGTCCTAAATGGCTTACAAACAGTCTGCATCTGATTTAGGAAGCAGTAGCCTGAGCCTATACATTCTGATCACAGGCCACAAAGAAAGAATATTTATTAAGCTGGGTTTTTAAGGTAATGACATTTGATTTGTTTTCTGTGAGTGCTGTAACTCTGCTATTGCCAATCAAATCAATATATTCTAGAAATGACCAGTCTGCAATCTCATGCCTTTCTGCTAGTATAAATTAAAAAGTACTTCTCATGGCAGAAATAATGGCCTCTCCTGCATCTCCTATGCTGACACCACAACAATAATAAAAATAACAATAATGAATATTGATAATAATAATTTTATTTGCGTAAAAGGTTACATTTTTCTCAAAGTGCTTGACAGTGGGCTATAATACAGAAAGAGAGTGTTATAGGAATAATATTAAATAACATTACAGAAATTATATAAAGACATTAACGCAACAAGAATGTGGTATAAATAGCTACTAAAAAGGTGAAGAAAATGAGGAAAATGAAACTTCTGAGGAAAATCAAACTGATTAGGAAGCTTAAGCTGTTTCCTTGGCGTTGCTAGATAGTTGCTATGGTGTTCCAGGTTGTTACAAGAAGATTTCTAGGTGGTTGCTATGGTATTCCAGGTAGTTCCAAGAGTGTTGGTAGTTAGTTTCTGTTTTATTCTGGTTGGTTACTAGGTTGTTGCCCATAAAAAACAGCTACCCATAAAAAACAGCTTCTCCAGTATTGTGTCTATACCCACTTTCTTCGAGGAACTAACCATATATATTAGAACAGAGACTATTGATACTCCCTTTCCACAAAGTCATTGGCAAAATTAACTATATTTGTCATTGCCATAAGAATGAGTATGTCCACATTGCTGTTGGTGGTGATTTCCTCACTGTACATCTTCACAGGGAAGATGTAGTTCTTTGTAACACCCAGTCTGTTACTGCACTCCTCTATCTAGAGAGACAAGCACATAAACGCAGAGTACTTGAGACTGATAATATCCTTTCACCTTTCTAGCCTTAGTAAAGCTACACATATATATTGTTTACCTGTATGAAAGCTATATACTGTTACTTATGAACTTGTTTTTTTTTTTACTTTTATTAATTACAATCAGTGTTTGCTAATTCAGGTCCAGAAAGTAAAAATCCTCCCCAGGATTTTGTTCCAACTGCCTGGATATCTCTGCTGCTGGTTTGAGTAAACTAGAGAAGCAACAAAAAAGAACGAAATCCTGGGGAGAATTTTTATTTTCTTGTACTGCATTACCCACCTCTGATTACAAGCAACTGGCTCATGAAATGCATTTTATTTGAAAGCATTAGTATGTAATATTAACTAAAACAATGTAACTCTTTTTTTGAGTTATGTATAAAGATTATTTTTTTGGATGGGGGGCTTTTTAGAAGTCACTATTATTCAAGTCATCACACTCACCTTATCTTTGATTTTCTTGCTTCTGTAGATCATTTTCAAGTCCTTAGAAACCAGCTTACATATCAAATCCACCCTGGTCATGATGACAACTTGAGGAATCTCTGTGGTAAAGACAGCAGGTCAGTGAAATAGCTTTTTCCTTGTTTTTTTTTGTTGTTGTTGTTGTTGTTTTTTTTTTTATATTTTTGCCTATAGAGCGGAACGGTGACCATTCACTTTTTTAACTCCCCTGTTTCTGAAAGTCATTCATTTTCTCCATAGACATCATCATAGACATTTCAGTCCTTCAATAAAGGGTTTTAAGAACCCAGTCAAACCAAGTAGCTAGGAAAAAAAACACCAACTAAAGCTAACTTTCAGCATTACACATAGCATATCTAATAGTTATAATATCATACCATTCATTACAAAATTAAGTGTCAGAGTCAGTTGTCCCTATTTCACATGCAAGGGAATTGAATTTTAATTAAACAGGAAGGGGTTAAACCGAATTCAAAATCACAGTAAAGCTAACTTGACTATTTAACTGCGTGAGGTTTAGTACAATACTCAGGAAATTACCAGGAGGGCTCAAGTGAACAAAAGCCAATGTATTACAATCAAAAACAGAGACGTCCAGATTACAGCGAGCAGTATGGCAAGTGAAAACATTAGTGCATTTTCTACATGATTCTAGAGAGAAGCAGCAAAGATCTACCCCGTGTGCAGGCTTGGCTGCTTCTATGCAAAAGTGATGCAAAGTGCCCAGCAAAGCAGAACAATCATAAGATGCTTTTGTTTTTACAGTCTAGTATGAAATATTTGGACATTGATTTTTTGGTTGAAATTAATATAGTGAATATTTCTTCTCTGTTTTAGTGTCAAAAACCTTCATCACTGAGCATTTTTGTGAGAAATTGTGTGGAAATTTTTCACTGCGTGTCATTAAAGAAGTGCAGATGACTAGAAGATAATATGTTGGTCTTTTATAAAATGAATTAGTGGAAAATAACAGGTTGATGACTCACCCAAGTCTCGAGCTTTTTCACGAACTTTCCTCATTTCACAGATGACACTTTGAGGCATCATGGATATCTTGTCTGCTGGTAGAATGCTTACGAGACAGTGGACTTTGCCATCGAGACTCGGGGTTTGGTCGTATTCTCTTTTTTCGTCAGTTAGTTCTGTCAGAGGATTAAACTGAAAATAATGAATAAAAGTTTTTTAATGTGGCATTTTATTCATATTCTAATATATCTTACAGCATTGCAGTTCATGTGAAAAACTGCACTTTCACTTACTGTATACCCTTCCTGCACATGACCCTGTAATATACTGATGAGGTCATTAGTTTGTATCCCGTGTGAAATCTCTGCTTCCATACCCATCGTGTCATTAAACACAAAAGGGAAGAATGATCCTGCTCTGTCTTTCTTCAGCTTGTAGGTTTTGAACTGGAAACAGAAAAGAGTAGACTTTTAAAATCAAAATTGTAAAATTTGTGCAAAATTTAAATAATAAAGTAATTAGCTGTACTTCTTTTAATAGCATTACAATACTTCTGAATCTGGATCTGTTAGATCTCCAACAAATTCATCATTACCTTCACAGTGAAGCTAACGCCACCTATCGAGTCTGCCAGTGCATCAGTAGTATTACGGCCTTGAAGGACAGTGTTAACGGAGTTGATAAAGCTGGATTTCCCAGAACCTACTGGTCCACACAGCAGAATTCTGACTTGGCTGACCATTGAGGTGCTAAGCTGGAACTCTTTCAGTTCCCGTAACAGTCGTTGCTTTTCTTCATTACTAGCAAGAAAGCAAAAGAGGGTCTAGCTAGGTTTGTTTGCTAAACTACAAGAGCTGCATTTATATGACTTTACAGATGAATATGAATCAGAGTGATTCTATTTAATGCATAATGTAAATTTTTTTATTCATAATTTCCGAAAATTCAAATGTTTTTTACTTTGTTATTTGCTGCAGCCAATTTGAACTGAGTTGAATTAATACCATTTTGTACAGGCTACTTTCTTAAGTTGATAAATATAAATGAACACAAAGCAAGGATTAATTTACCCTTACCTCCAGTCCACTGGCCTCCATTCTTCTTCAAGAGCTGTCAGACAAAAATGGATATAAGCAGGTCTGTAATGAATAACATCAGCCCATCACATCAAACCTATGTGCCTTCAGCAACATAGATAGAAAGTTTATTTATCATCATTCAGTGTGATTGAGAGAAATTTTGTTCAGTCACCTTATTTAACCTTCATCTAAATAATGACTTGGAATTGAAAATTGACAATATTGAATACATTTACATCTGGAATGGGGATAGACTTCGCACTTGGGAGACTGACCTTTTTTTTTGTAAATATCTGCATATCTGTATATTAAATTATTATTTTTTTATTTAATAAACACATGAAAATTCTTCATGATTCTTCAGAGCTCTAACTGTATACTACACAGATTGGCTTGGTTCAGATAAATTCAGTTTTATTTCAGACAACAGATTGTACAGTTGTTTATGCACCCAAACAACTAGTCTGGAATATATTTCCATAATAGACGGTGAGAAGAGCCGTAGGGCATTGTTTTACACTGTTTTGAACCTTCAGTTTTTCCATTTTAGATATTATATTGGAATCATCACAACCTTAATAGTATAGAAAATTTTGTCTTCTTTAAAAAAGCTGAATTGAAAAACATACTTTCTGGAGGTGATGGAGGTGATGGAGGTGGTGGTGTTCCCCAAATAAAGTTTTTCATCCATGGAATCATGATGTAGTTATTCACCTGTTAATTGTGTGCAAAATTATTGACCACAAAAATATAATATGATCAAATCTAAATCGCTACTGTAAAGTTTATCTTTTACAGTCTTGGATGGTTCTCTGTTGGGGGAAGTGATACAGTGTCGTATATGTTGTATAATAGTGAAAAATGGAACATTTTATTTTCATCATTAAAGCAATTTGCTGAAAATTTCAGGTCTGAACAGAAAATATCTGGCATTTTCCTCCCTAATTCAGAGGCTGTGTGAGCGTGAATGGCCTAAACTGCAGCACCATCCTTTTTGCAAAACCAACTAAACTTAAGAGTAACAATGGAATTTGTTCAGTTAGACCATACTATTTAGTGTTAAGGTGGCACAAAACAGTAATTTCACTTTTTTAAAGAGTACAGAACAACTACAATCAAGGTCATACATTCTTGACCTTCTGCAGTGCCTTGTAAATGTTTTCAATAGTACTGATAGTTTAAAAAGTTGAACTAAAATATAAAAAATCATTTGACTCACCTTTCCAGCACAGAAATAGTTTGAGGTTTTTTGTTATTGTAGATTTTTGTTGTAGATCGTAATGTCCCAAACACCTGGAACAGAGCTATTCTGCTCGATTGTTGTAATAAACTGGTGGTTCTTTGTTATTTGACATCCGTTCACTTCCAGTTTCAAGAAGGAAAGCTGACACAAGTAGAACCAGTAAAAACAGAAAACAAGGAGAAAAACCTAAACACCTTCTTGTCTCTTATTAGGAGATCAGGGGAAATAAAATGAAGTAATTAAGCGAGAGACACACAAAAAACAGCTCTGATGCAGAACTCTCCCTGTTATAAAACAGGCGTTCTCTCTGGGCTCCAACACCAGCCTGCTGTGTAGGGAAAAGGGGAGTTACATAATGAGGAAACAAATAACAGGTGAACGGAATTGGTTGATTAGCTGGCCACTCCTTCTGACCGCCCCTTCTTAGTTCTGTCAAATGCTAGACCAAAGCCCTGTTGACTACATAGATACACACTTTTCTCTGGAAATGCTTGCAAGCTACTTTCAGTTTTCATTTCCAAGTAATGATTACTGTTATTGTCATTTATGTACAGAAGGTGTTCCCTAAAGATTTGTCACTTTAGAACGTTGTTCCAGTCCTAATCAAACACATTTGATCCAGCTAAATCAAGCTAAATGACATGCTTATCTAAAAAAGCTTAGAATTGGAAGTAAATTCTGCAGAGTATCAGATTCCTCAACCACCACATTCATAAACTTACAAAACCTTAGTTACATAGAACTGAAGATCTAAACTCTTTTATACTTAAATGTAAAACCATTCACATAGTGCTGAGGTGACAATAACTCTGTCAAACCCATCTTGGAAATGATATCAGTAACTAGACTATTTCTTACTTATAGGGTACTGCACCATTATTCCTATATTAATGATAAGTTGGCATAAACAATATGTAAACAGTGGTGCCTCTTTCATTTCCATTCATTTGAAATTACTGCTACAGCTGCTGTTTCTGAAAAGAGTGTCATGAATCTGAATGGTCTAAACCGACTAACTAGAATTTGGCAATGCTAAACAATGATAAAAATCAGGGATTTTTTTGTTTTTTCAGACTGAGTACGAGTATATATATTTAGTGCTTGCAGATACAATACTGATACAATACTGAGTAAGAAGTTATACAATACCTAGAATTAAGAAGTTGTTGGTGCAAATGAGCATGGTGTACCTTAAAAATGTAATCATTAAAATCTAGCTGATTTTAAATGATTTGCATTAGCTAGCTGTGCTACATTAGTTACCTTTGATGGAGTAGGACTGCAGTGGAGAAGAGTGGACAGACAAATGCTTTTACCACTGTACGTAAAGTACAAGTCATAGTTTTGCTCCTTGTCTCTCTTTCAAAAACAGTCTGTGTAGCATGGCAGAGATCATATCTGAAGCTAAAGTATCTGAAGAACTCACATTTTGAGTTTTACATCTTGTTGGGAGTCGTTTTACATTTGAATAGACCATTGTGTACAGATAAAGCCAAAGCCTATGATTTATATGCGAAACGCAGCCTCTACAGACAGCTCTGTCTACAGACAGTTTCAAAACATTCGAAAACAACATGCTGCGCACAGAGTACTCTGTTTAGTTGGTCGGTGTGTCTCCACCCGTATTGGGGAAGCAGCTGTGATTGTGTTTATGTGTGTTTAAAATGGGCTAAAATCACACAGTGTATTCCTGGCGGGAATCTTCCAAGCTGGAATATTTCAAGTGACGGACGGCTTTGTCTCCGACTGTCACAGAGTCAGTAACACTTTGCTGTGATAGTCCATCCTTCTTCACTACATTAGCATTAGGCAGTCTACACTCGGTTTACAATAACAGCAGGTATCGGAATGTTGACCATGGTGTATTTTTATGAGTACATTTGCACATGAGCACGGTATCAGCCTGATACCCAATACCAGTATCAGTATCAGTACATCCCTAATAAAAATGGTTTATTATGTTTATTATGTCTGTGTTTGCGTGGTCTACAACTTTGTATCTGAGGTATTGTTGCTCTGAAATGCTTCCATTTTACAATAATACAAGCATGTCTGCTTTGTGTGGGCTGTGCAAAAGTTATGGCACATTTTATTTTTATATTTTTCTAATGTGTTAAACTTAGTAAATAAATAGTACACTAAAATTTGTATAAAAATGTCATATGTAAATGTGTTCTCTGTAGAGGATGTGTTGACTTATGTTCACAAAAATTAACAAAATATATCACTTGTATTAGTTCAAATGTTTGCATACAACTGTACTTTGGCTGGATTCCGTTTACTCTTGTTAGTAAAATGCGTCCCTAGTGTGTCCAGATCAGACCTGATTTTAGTGTCCCACATAAAAGCACATCAACATGTACGTCATTTCCGTTTTACCTCCTTTTTCCCCTGTTATGAATCCACAAGCGCTTGTCTTGTGCGCTTTCATTGGCCCAGAGTGCAAAAAGCCTGTAAGTTTGGGGAACTCCAGCCTCACGTATCCTCTGTTTTGCATTTCCTTTTTTATCCTCTGACCTGCTGGTCAGCACTCTGCAGACACATTTCTGCTTCCATAACTGTATGTGGACACAGAAAACACATTCCATTTATACCTGTGTGTGGTGCAGATCCGTCTCTGACCACCTGCAGATCATAATTCGATCACAAAGCATCCTGACGGTGTGTAGACTTTGCTTTTTAGGCCGTCAATGTATATCACCGAAACACATGTTGATGTGAGATGTAAATAGTCACTATTGGTCATTTCCAGTGTGTGAATAAGTGTATTAGTGAAAAATAAGATAGCTCTCCTTAATCTCTTGCCTTTTTCCAAACTGTTTTTATTTTTTCAATGATATCTTCAGACATAAGGAATAGACTGTCTTCTGGTAGGACACAGGACAGGGAACTTTGTCATCTAGACTTGGGGTTTTGATGTATTCACTTTGTTCCTCAGTCAGCTCCTTTGCAGAATTATACCCAAAATAAAATGAAACGTCATATTACATTGTAGCTATAGTACAGACAGTACAGTGATCGATGATAGACTGTCTCTAATTTGTCACATTTCCCATGATTTACTTTTTCCAAGCTTTAGTGTTCTTTTAGCATTAGCCAAAAAAAAGGCTTGACTTTAACAAACTGCACAGGGATTTTAACATCTTGCACAAATCCCACGAAGAATACTCTCAAAGTCTATCCTATCCAGAAATCTCTGCACGCGTGCATGTTTTCTTTGTTGATTTAACTAAGTTTGACAACAGTAGGTTTTAAAGTAGTGAAAGATACTCTGACTGAATTATTCTATATTGTAATTTAGTATTTTAGTTTTCCATATTGCATTACACGCCCACTGGATTGTGTACTTTAGGGCATTCATGTGAACAAACTACATACGTGTCAACGTACCATATACCCTTCTGGAACGTGGCCTTGTAGTGCACTGATGATGTTAGTTTGTACACTGTGTGAATCATGAAATTGTGTGAAACCCCTCATGTCTTTGAACACAAAAGGAAAAGTGATTCCACTCTGTCTTTCTTCAGTGTGTAGGTTTAGTACTGAAAACAAAAGCAAACTGTGAAATGTGTACAGACTTTCACTATTAACCTGACCCCACTGATGCTGATGCTGCCGCCGCTGCTACTGCATGAATTAATCAAATTAATCATTTGCTCCACCTGTTTTCCCTGTTTTTGTACTAACAATGTTTACTATCCGGTGTCGACCAGAGGAGTATGGGTTCCCCTTCTGAGTCTTGGTTCCTCTCAAGGTTTCTTCCTGTTTCCTAGGGAGTTTTTCCTTGCCACTGTCGCCACTGGCTTGCTCATGGGGGCTTGGACCCGGATTTCTTTCTGTAATGCTGATTTCCCTGTAAAGCTGCTTTGTGACAACGCCTGTTGTAAAAAGCGCTATATAAATAAACTTTACTTACTTACTAACTACTTACTTACTAATAAACCGGTAAGCTGTCTCTGTTTTAGTGGCGTCACCATACATCTCTATTGAATTTACACTGTATTTGATTGTTAGATGTATGAGATACAGATCAATACCTCCAAAGTGAAGCTGACAGCACCTGTTGAATCTGACAGGGCATCAGCAGTATTATGGCCTTAAAGGACAGTATTAACTGAGTTGATAAAGCTGGACCTCCCAGAACCTACTGGTCAGTACAGCAGATTTCTGACATGGCTGACCTCTTGAGGTACTAGGCTGGAACTTTTCCAGCTTTTGTAACATCTACTGTCTCAATTCATCACTGGTAACATGGCAAAAGAGGCTAAGCTTATTTAAACAATGCACCCCTTTGACTTTGAATATTAATACTATGACTTTGAATAATAATATTAATAATGTACATTGCATGGCTTAAAGCAGGTGGACACCTGGACATTGCATTTATTTGTACTTGAACATCTCATACCAAAACCATGGACATCCTGCTGGGAAGGTTTTTCCATTAGACTTTGGAACTTGGCTGCAAAGATTGGCTTCTGTTCCTCCACAAGAGCAATAAGGTGTGGGCGATAAGGTGTGGCTCACAGTCTGTGTTCCACTTCATCACCTGGGTGCTGGATGGGGTTGAGGTCAGGTCTCTGTGGCAGCCAGTTAAGTTCTTCCACAATAAACTTACCAAGCAATTTCTTTATTATTCTGAAACAGAGAAGGGGGCCAACCCACTGTTGTGGCATGGTTTTGTTAGCTGAGAGGGCAGTGCTGTTATTCATCAGTAAAACATTGGCCCAGTCTCATACTGGACTCTACTGCCTATTCACACCATGTCACAGATGCTAAGTTTTGCTCTTCTATAGCACCTTTGCTGCTTTTTGCCTGTGATCATCCTTGCATTTAATAATGTACACAAAAAGCTACATGAGTGCTAATGTCTCCAGCTCGTGGAGAATCTTCAGCCTGCTGAACTTAAATTAGTGTGTTTTGCAAGCTACGTCCGAGAGATACCTTTGCATTTAAAAACAAGAAGCCAATTTATTTCTATGCACACTGACTTATAGATGCTATGCATTAAAAATGACAGACAATGCCACAAACAGTATGGAACATACAGATAAAATACATGAGCAAACAGATGGACGACGCATACTATTGGCATCATGCCCATCAACCTAGAGATAAACAGCACAAGACCAACTGAACCCCTAAAACACCTGAGCCCTCGTTCAAAAACACAGTCGGCAAAGAATTCAACAAATACTGCTAAATGTAAACATTTTCAA